GAGTACAGTCCACTGCGAAAGTCTGTTGATGTCTGTCGCAACCAAATCTCAAAACTCCTTAGCCTTAGATGGTAACAAACAATACAAAAACCAATTCTACGCCCTGGGTCCGAGATCCACAGAACCTGAAAACCCCTGGTGAACGCGGAGGGTCCGCTACAGTAGTCTTCCTTCTAGGTCCATGAGTCCATGCCATCAGGTTTCAAGCTAGTCTTCCTGGGTGTAAACATGATGTTGTTCCTCCCACTTAGTCGCCTGCAAGCCATCTCTCCAAGGCCATTGTTGAATGAGGCGAAAGGTGGCTTGATCTGCAGACCTCTGCATGTAAAAGCAACATCTGCAAAACATCGTTTTGGTCTTAATCATCATGGAAGTGGATGGCACCACCTCTTTGATGTTCGGAAAACTCATGGTCATCCGAAATCGGGGCCATACGTTGCCATACGTTCTCCACGTAACCATCGGTGGATCTCCAGGGAGTGTCTCCTCAAACTTCTAACGCCGTCTGTGGTCGACCGCATGTTTGGATTTCCGCTCATGTGCCCCAATGGTTTGAGCGGCGGACATGGTTATTTTTTCATTGCTAGACTCAAATACACTATCTACATCTATCTACTATGTGGGGGCCCGATTTCTCGTTTAGACTAATTATATTAATATAAGGAGGTCATATCACAGTAGACTACTTCAGACTACTTCAGTGTCATCACAAAAAGTACCTTGTTTATGCAAATCTCGTTCACCAGCGAAAACTGATGTCGGAGAGCATGTCGTAAAGAATGACAAGAAAGTGGTTGCTCATATCTGAAAACTAGCACTCATCAAGTCACAGTGTCCGTGGTTCGGGCTCAACAGATCTCAACAAAAGCTGCAGTTTGAGATGTTTTACACCTTTGGTTTTCAGATGTTGTCAGTCTTATTCTTTTTAGCCTGAGCTCGATCCCACGTGCAAAGCGCAGGAAAGGGGCGGCACCACAAGCACCAGTGGCTCGGCACTGGCCTCGAGGCCCAAGTGTCCTCAAGGGCAGGGCTGCACATGCAATTGCCCTGCGCAACATGGGAGGATGGACATAGTTGGGGGGTCATGCCATCTGGGATTAAACTAGATTTGTCGGCATCTACCTGGACCCAACATCGTTCGTGGAAAATGGATGAACATGGGACATGACTTCCAAAAACAGCTATGACATGGTATGACTGGGGCCCCATTGTCCAATCAACAAAGAGGTCCACTCCAGGACAGTACCCGGGAAGCCGTCGGGATCGACGGAGACGGCCACTTTGTTTCTTTCCAGTGCTGACGGTCGATCTGCTAGGCTTTAGACATTCTTCAGCCAAGCTGAGTGAGCTCAACATGGATCAACTTTGGAAACTGGAGAGTACTGTAGTTGGCAAAGCGTCGGGATTCCAACTGCCAAATTCAGGCTGCCTGCAGCTTTAGCTGCTGACTCTCGCAAAGAATCTTCTTTCCAAAGCGTACCTCAACCTTGTTGATATCTACTATGAAACGTTCTACTCCTGCCTTGTAGAGCGCACGGTCCTCTTGTGTCATGCTGTCAACTTTTTGAATGATGTCTTTGGGCATGTCATAAATCGACCCAACGGTTCCATTGAAGTGGTCACGGTGAGAAACATTTGTTTCGACGTAGGAACTCCATGCTGGGCTTTCACAGTCACAATGCTCAGGCAGAGAGTCCAGCAACTGAGCTGAAAACAAGCAAAACGATTCATGATACGCTTCAACCACTCCAAGTATTGTCGCAGAATGAATGTTCTTCATGGCCTTCTCGAAGTCCGCCGTTGCATAGCAATACTTTGCTGCCACTTCGCTGTTGCAAGCTAACCGAGAACTTTGCAAGTTGTAAGGACAGTAGCAGAATTCGTAGTCTTCGTAGATGTCATAATTGCCCCAGCGTGGACTTTCGTACCATTCATTGATCCACTCGCTGAACGAACTGGCCAAATGATAGTTCGCTTGACCTTTCAACCCTTGCCTCTTTCCGACCATAAACCTATATCCTGGATCAAGCGCAAGGTGGCAGAACTGGTACATTGAATAAACATGAGCACGGGGTTCTCTCACCATTACCACGGTGTTTTCATAGCTCCGCTTTGATGAGTACGAAAAGCAAACCTCTTGGGAATAGACTTCATCGCGACCCACCATTCCACTCAAATCCTCGACAACAGAACAGCCTGCCACCTTTGGAGTGTGTAGGTGAAAGACCTTCGCCTCATCCTTCGCCTCCCGATCCCAGCAAGCCCATAATGGAAGATCAGACTTGATGGAATGCCCAGCAACTGCAAGTCTCAGAAGGAAAGCAGTTTGCAGAGCCCGCAAAGCTTGCAGCTTCAAACGGTACGGTAACATGCTCTACATAGATTTAAAGGACTCTTGAGCCCACGCCATGATGCCATTCCTGTGCTGTGTGAGTCCACTCTCCTCCTCGAAAACATACTGAAGGCAACCACAACCCTCCCTCCCCAAGGACTTTATTGAGTGGACGGTTGTAATTCCGCATCGATTAGACTCAAAGAGAATCAAACACAGTGTCAGGTTTCCATGGTGTGCTGGTCAAACCCAACATTAAGCCGACTCCGACATGTTCTTCCTCTCGTCTCTGACCAAGCTGCTCTGGATCTCCGACTCCCCTTCGCTGGCCACTCGGACCTCATCACGGACCGCTCGTGTGTTTCCCGCGGCCTGGGCCGCTACCAGGACCCACCTGGAGCCAAGGCGGGGAGCTAATGGACGAACAGCTCTTAGTCTTTTTGGGGATGAAAAGAAGAGACACCTCGCAATGAGATCAGGTGCCCTGTCACAGCCCAGTTCAACATCTAGTCTATATATATATATACACCGTTGTTGAGTACGAAGCCACAACAACTCTCGACACAACCAGTAGGAACCAAAAAGCGAACCAAAAAGCGAGTGAAGCAACGGATGAACACTCCGCTCCGGTGAACGTACACAAAACAACAGGGGACCTTTGACAACTCACTTGAAGGACTTGGTCTTCTTTCGCGGTCGCAGGACCGCGTGCGCACGACCAGGACGCCCCCGCAAGACTCTTGGTGTTGTGATGTGTTGTGTGCAAGACTCTTGAGCCTTTCAGATCCACAATGATCCAAGACTCTTGGGTCTGAGGATGTCTGAGGATGTCTGAGGTCGAAAATGCAAGAGGTCGGGGGCCCAAAGTCGGAGGTCTGAGGTAGAAGATGAGGGGCCGAACGTGAGTCTTAGACTCTTGATGGCCATCAACCCACCTCCGTGCAGGATGGAGCAGGTATCATGGAGGGCGGCGAACACAGCGGAGCGGGAAGCAACAAAAACGGGATTCACCCAGGAACCGGGTGAATCATATGACCAAACAAGCAAAACCAGTATAAGTATAAACCAAACCGGTATCATCCCAAACTGGCCATTGTTTTCCTGGTCATCCCCCAGTTGCTTTGTTTCCCATTGTGTCCCACCCCGCAAAAAAGAAGAGTTTGTAGTTTTACGTGCTTTTGTAGTTTTACATGTCTCTTTTTTGTCAGTGGGATTTAACATGATTTAACGTTAACTAGACTCTTATTCTAGTTCGCGGTATTTCGGGATCACTATACTTGCACCTGTTGTTCCCTTTGAACAACCTCCTTCAACTAGACAACGAGGAACCACGTGAGCTCTAGGCACATGGCCCAGCGTCCGCGGAAGGCGGCAGGGTGCACGTCTGCCTTGTTTCAAGCCAATGGCGGACCGGACACACGTGGTGTTTTGTGATGGATGGTGATTGTGGATGGCTCCAACACGGCGGACCGGACACCGCCTACGAAGTGCGGTGGCTAACGAGGGGAACACGGGGGGGGGGATTCACGGTGGCGTGGCTCGGGGGGCTACTGGTTCACGCCTGGCCCAAGGAGTTTCGGTCTATGCTCCGAACCTTGCAGGGGGATCAGAACCCCCTGGTTTCGGTCTCCCTATTCTTACGACACACCCAAATCCCGCGAGGGGGAGTAGTGAGAACTGGGAGAGGGGGAGTGACTCAATGTAAGAGCCAGCTATCATCTACCTCCTTCGGAACCTGTTAGAGCCGCGGAAATCCATTGGAATAATACTTGGCTTCCATAGGCTATCACCAGAATACCAAAAGCTTAAAATGGCTGAGGTGGAATTGCGCCATGACTTCACTGACCGAACTTGCCGACTCCAGTCCTGACACGGACTAAACTGCCGCTCACCAACAGTTTGCCTCACCATGGTCCTAACAAGGGCGCTCCCTTCAAGACACAAAACACGACGCAAGTAGTTGTGCTGTTGCTTCTTGATGATGGTCATGGTCTAGTCTAGTCTAGTCTAGTCTAGTCCTTCTTTTGATATCCAACGAAAAACCATGAACGATGCAACCTGTCCAATTCACGAAGTAACCGACAACACCGACAAGTCCAACGTCAAGTGATCCGCCCGCGTTTCCGAGACGCTCGTGATCCGCTGAGAACCCGACCATGAGGGATGAATGAAGTCTTTGTACAAGAGGAATATCGGCGCAAATGGTGAAGAGTCTCGGGGGGGGTTCAAGGAATTGTATGATTTGTATTGATTTGTAGGATTACTGGCTTGGCCCGAGAAAGCACACCTTTGAGTCCACTCACGTTGTCTCACTGTGCGGATCTGGGCCGTGCTCGATAAAACATACTAGAAGAAGATTGGATTAGTGCGAAAAAGCCTTGAACATGGGTATGGGGAGGAGGAGAACTTCGGGTGCATGAGCTCAAGATACATGACCCCCATGATACCTCTTGCATAAACTTTTTAGACATTGTCATGGTCATCAAATGAGCTTCGGCTGCGGCCAAGCTATGCAGCATCACAAAACATTCCTGACAACAGCAAACTGTCTGAGAGTGGATGGGATGGGGTGCGGAGGAGCATTTCCAACATATCTTCTTACCAGCACGTTTTTTTTTCCATTTGATCATCTACTCGAGCATGATCAAACACGAACTTACGTGTAGGCCTTGACGTAGGCGCTTTGCTGGTCTTGTTCAAGATGCTGCGGGCAAACTCCTCGGAGGAGAGGCATCATTTTATGTCGATCGTGTGAGGGAACTCCAATGCTTGAGTGGAGAAACACACAGGGGATGCTTGGAGGTCGTTTGGACAATGCTTCTCTTTCTTGTGTATGTTTTCTACCCTATTTGATGACATGTTCTTCATTGCTGTGGAGAACATCATTTCTTGTTGGCCAATACAATATAACATGGTATAATATGATTTAGGGTGTCTTTTTGCTATCAGAAACCCTTGCTCATGGCTAGGGGGGGACGTGGGGGGTAGGGAAATTGCATGTTTGGGCAGGTTGCCGAGCGGTTTACACACCCTTCAGACCGGCCTTCACTGGTTCCAAAGACCGGTCTTTGGGACGAGGAGAAGGGTACCCAGAACGTGCTCTGAATGATTGTCTCAAACTGGAAGAGCCTATCTTGTGCCGTTCTGAAGAGAAGAACCCGGTGGTTTCCCTCACCAGGAGCAATCGCTGAGCTGTGTATGTTCAGCAATCCCGTCCGGACAAAGAGACTAAGATCAATTCCAGAATTCTCCTAAACCTAGCTGTGTCTGGGACTAGTCCCCATGACGTTTGGTGCCCCATCCTCTGCTGCTTCGTCATCCTCTTCGTTCTCCGACACGGACCTGGCGAAGGAAGGAACTGAGGCCGACCAGTCGGCCCTGGTGGCGCTACGACCCACTCGGTCCACCGGTGCTCCGTCCGGTCGCAGACCAGGTCAACCCAGCGCTCCCGGTGCTCGGTCCCAGGGTCGACCGAGCCCTCGGTCCACCCGGTGCTCGGTCCGGTCGCGAGGAACATGTCCGAGGCATGGAGCCGAACGAACATGTTTGAGAACCGTACGTTTGTTTGCAAGGCCTAAACGTACGGTAACCCCTAAAACATGATTGACAAACCATGCCGTCTGAGGCCTGAAGCTCTTGACCCTTCGTTTGATGCTTGACCCTGATTGAACCCCTGAAAATCCCATAAACCGCTGCATAACGGCGTTTTTCCACGCGCGAACATACGCCGGATTTAGATCGCAAACACTTCCACACCGTGGCCTTGGCTCCTCTGGCACCTGGAATGCAAACAGCAAACAGACCACTCCCTGTGATTTTCAAAGAATGGCATGCTGGTCTTTCTTCCAACACGTAGTGAACTCGTCATATTGATGATTTCGAGTGTAGAAAGCGGATGCTGATGTTTCTCATCGATTGTGGATAGATGTGGATCTAGGCCTCTGAGAGAACCATTCTAGGCCTGGACCATGGACAACGCTGTAAGGGATATAGCTACATGTCCGATATCAAAATGCAAACAGCCACTCTAAGAGCTCTATGTATAGGTTTTGCTCTGCAGCTTTCCTGGATCTCCTCTTCTATGTGAAGTCTGTTGATCACTTGGGCGTACTTCGTGGCATCTTCATTCTGACCAAACTCTTAGCCTACCCTGACTAGGGCCTACCACCAGTTTCTTCAAGCATCACTCGTCGCCTCGTCAAAGAGCTCTGGATTTGGGCTGTTGGCCGCTCGCGCTTGCTTCCCTGGCCAGATGTGATCTCATTGCGGAAGTGGCCGTCGGATCTTCATCGATGTTTTTCAGTGTGAAAGATCTGCGGCCACCCAAGCAGCCGAGTGCAATCTTTTGGAGACCTAGTACAGTCTCCAAATTTGACAGGCCTTCACTTGAAGCAGCTCTAGTCTCTAGTTGTTTTAGTTTTCTTCTTATATGTATGATTCGTATGATATCCAATACGGGTTATGCATGGGTTATGCCCGTGGCCAAGACTCTGGCCCAAACCAGTTTCTAACTGGGATTTGGTCCTCACAACTGGCCCTCCACTCGTTCGACTTCCCCACCAGCAATTCGCAGTGATCGCCGCCGCGTGCAGTGGACGACCTGTGGGTCTCGTGGACGACGCAAACGGCACGTCTCGTGGGTCTCGTTTTCCACGAAGCGGACTGGATTAAGCTCCATGTAAAAAGCCCTGTTGTTTGAACCAAGCAACAGAGTTTTGAGGAAGATATCATATATAAATATTATATATACATATTTGAGACATGGGGGTCATTGCACTTAGTAGACTTAGTACCATCAGGATCTGGGTGGATGGCTTGAACTAGATCTCCAAATCGCTGGCCATGGCCACAGTGGACTACTCGGGGGGGTCTGGCAGCCATCCTTTGCTGGGAACACCTACAGGTAACCATGGTTACTACCATGGTTTTCACGGCTTTCTCTTCCCAAATCCCCAAACCACCCAAGACAGTCCAAAACCACGGGTTTCCTGGAGACCTTCCCTTAAGCCAAAATCGATTCATGTCTGGTCTCTGGCCATTCCAGCTCACGTCCCACTTCTGTTGGTGATCGTTCAACACACGCATGATGGCGGTGCGACGTCGCCTCTGGAGCTATAAAGTCATTCAATCGCTCCAGTGGATCGGCATCCTGTGGATCCGGCAAAAGAAGCGGCCCCAAGGTGAGGAATCAACCAAGCCTTGGTTTTCGACTTGTGGTAGCATGTTTTCGCACCCTGAATAGAAAGAACGGTATTGGTTAATAAGTGAACTCATCTTCCAAGATGTGAAGATCAGCTCTGGACCGTGGCTCTATCTTTTGGACCTTGTAAAAACATGAAACACCTATTGCAAGACATTCGGCAGGCAGGTCCTCTGCATCCGCCTCTGGCGAAGGTCCGGTTTGGTGGGGAGTCTCATCTGGAGCAAGCGCCTCATCCACATGCGGCACGGTCGACCTGGAAACCCAGTCCCAGAAACCCAGTCTGGAACTTCCCAGTCCCGTACTTGTGATGGCGATCTGAAAGCGAGATTGGAACAACCAGAACTGTTTTTATCTGTTTTTGGGACTGGGGTTCCCGGAAATGATCTGGACTGAGGCATCTTGTGCTGCACTCCAAGACTTTTATAGCCTTGTCAGGCAACTTGTTATTATAGTTCTGTTGCATCTGATCGTTGTGGAACACAACGGCACAAAATCGAACATTTCGTCTTTGGAGCCTTCCTGGCCACCTTATACAGTAACCCCCACATCCCAGCACCTTCCGCAGCCGGCGGCGTGGAGCAGGTGCCTGGTCACCAACGCCAGGTCCCAACTAGTCCCAATTGGTTGGTATGTCTGGCGCTCCCAATTGTTGTTGGTGTTTCAGCATCGTCCTGAGCGGTTGCTTTTGATCAGTAAGTCCATGGTTGGTTTTCTGTCTGAGAGAAACCACTGTCGACTTTGGACTAGAATTCAATCATACCAGGACCCTCAAAGGGGTGCCCAATGGAAGACTATAGGTAGTGTGGGGTAGTCCATTGGACACCCCGACAGGAGGGTCCAGGTATAATATATGAATCGTGCTGAATCTGTCTCCTTGATGTTGTTGAACACATCAAGGCGCAGTGAGCTTTGTTGACACCTGGAAACCATCGGGTTTGTCGCTGGCGTTCCACCGCAGGGGGGCGCAGGAGAACATGCCCGGCGATGCGGCTCGGCTCCGCCTCGGGAGCTACGAAGTCATTCAACGTCTCCAGGGGATCTCGCACGTCGGCCTCTTCCGGTCGCGCCGGCCATGGACCCATCGATCTGCCGATGTGACCACGAAGCAAATGCGGAACAAGGAAGTTGACACACTTCAAGTGTTGTGTCCTCATACGAGTACTGCTGAAAAGGCGCAAAGAACACGCAAAGACCATTCCCGAAAAAGCCTCTTAGTCACTGTCCAAAGAACGCAGCATCGGCCATCACATGGCTGTGGATGGACAATACGACTTCCTTGAGATATCTTGAGATAGTACATGTACCCTCCGACTCAGTGACATAGAAGTGGACACCAACCACCCTGTTCGTATCCTGTTCGTAAAGGATGTTCCTCGTCCTGCAAGGGTCCATGTTGGACATGTCCCACGGTGATGTGTTCGTTGGAGAGCGGAACACTCACCCTTCTCTTTTCATCTGCTCCGACTCCTTCATTGGATGGCGCATCCATCGGCCCCAACCGGAAGACGAACGGACCCACGGTTGAACAGTGAGGGGGATCGGTCGGACCTTCCCCACGGTTCATCCCAGTGACCCAACGGTTCGATCCCAGTGACGGATCGGTCACAAGTTCCAGGTCTGCAAGGCCGTTGGGTCACTTATACCAATCCTCCAGTTCGGTGCACCAGGTCCTGTCTTTTCAGAATCTGGGCCCCTTCAGCAACACACTTCGGAACCCTGGTTGCCCGACCCCTGCCATGCAGGGCCCAAGGATTCTCAGGGTGGAGAGTATCTTATCATCGCTTCTCGAACGTCGGCCCCTCCGTCCGCCGCCGTCGCCTTCCGCAGTCGGCCACGAGGACGATGCAGCGAGGAGGCGGCTTCTGCGAGTCGGCGATCGTCCAGGGAACTGGAGCTCTTCCACGGAACGAGGACGAAAGGGCAAAGGAAGCAAGCAAAAGAACGTTACGGCGAACGTTGAAAACCACTTATATACTTGGAGTCGACTTCTTCATGCAAGTCATTACCTCGGATTTCAGGCAGTCGTGCCTGTTTATATATTCGGATCATGTCCTGTTTCCTAGGGTACTTGAAGTCGGGTCCAGGTCTATACATAATATATTCTACACAATTCTACACCATACAGAATGTGTGTCCTCTTTCTGTCCATCCGAAAGGTCAGCAGCCTTGGACTTGAATGTCTGGTTCTATGTGTCAAGCCATAGCCATCATCTTGGATTTGCTTAGGGAGCTGGAAACAGAATCAACACCATATTCCTCACAAGGAACTTCACCCAGATGCAACATACAAAATCACCTTAAGCAAAACCAGGTCATGTAGGAGCTGGTTTTAAGCCTCTCCATCTCCTGCCTGGAGATCGTTCTGGCACCTCTTCCACCTGGAAATCAAAGGGGGACAAGTCAAGTCATGATCGACAAGAACAAGAAGGTTTTATATATAGTAAAAACATCTCCACCAAGGGCGCCTACTCACGAAGCGCATCTGCTAAGCTGGAACGTAGACTCGGCCCCAAAATCCGCACGGCCCTAATCTTTACCCCAAAGACATCTTCGCACATCTGTTCCCTCAATATCCCAGCCAATTAAAAACATCTCAACCACTTCAGAGGTCACTCAGATGTAGGCATACAATGTCAGCGATACATTTTTTTGAATTCAAGTCAGTGATAGCTCGTCATCAGTTCAGGTCCAACGTACAATTCTTGCTGAACTGAGGGAACAACGGAGTCGTGCCCTGTACTTTGGATGAGCAGAACTGTATCCCAATGCGACAACACCGACTGCAACACATGTTCACACCTTACTTATCTATCTATATATATATATACCAGGACCCTCCAAGGGGTGCCCTGTCTGGAAGCCTATAGGTAGTGTGGGGTAGTCCAGCCAGGACACCCCAAAAGGAGGGTCCAGGTATATATTCAATATAGGGTCTATACAATCCATTCCATTTCTTTCCCTCAGAATCCGGGCCCGGTCCGGGTCCGGCCGCTTAGACTCCGCCTCCGCCTCCGGCTCCGAAAAAACCCCGAACGGTCGGCCGTGTGATGTGAAGCTTTTGGCTAGCGAACATTGGCTTGAGTAGCGAACATCTGGTTGGGTATGAAAAAGACAATAGCAAATGGTGTGGCCTATAGTGTCTATCCTTTAAGATCTTGATGTCAGCACTTATCCAATAAATTCCTTTTCCATTGTTTTCCGCATTGTTTTAGCCACACCCGGCAAGAACAAGCAAAAGGCAGATGTTCACACGTGACATGATTTTCAAGCTCATTCGATCCAAATTCTGCCAGTTGCCAGTCCATGATTGGGTTTGTCATCGACAAACTGTTTTAGGGGCTCGAGGTATGAAGAAGCACCCATTGCTTGGACATGCACCCCTTCCACACATACTCTTAAGAATCCAGATCGTTTCCTGTATTATTGCTGTGTCCAGCGACTTTCCTCAATCCATACAAACCAACGATTTCAATCCGTGCAAGGTAGGATATACTTCGGCATCTAGACTTGAAGTGATGCTGCGCACCAACAGGTGAGAACCATCACTTGCTACCCAGATCTACCCAGTCAGTTCGTGGATCACCTGCATATTACCTTTTTGGGGACCAACTTGGAGACAGCCCACTCAACATTGGTGGTGCTTTTCTTCATCAGCTCTCCTGGGATGCCACCGGAGGAACCGGCGGGTGCTGCTCTCGCCACCGGACCTAAACGACGAACGCCCCTCTTTCGTCCACGTACGCGGTGGTCCACTCCCTCAGGCTGAGCCGCCTCCAAGCGCCGCTTTCGACCTCCGACGGTCGGCACGTTGTGACCGCTCACAACTACCACAACACCATCGACCGATCGAGCTTTTACGTCTGTCCGCGTTCTCAGAAAACGCCGACCACGTCCGGGGGCGACCGAATGGTTTGTTTTGTGCGCTGAAGGCATCGGGAAAAAAACTATACAAGATTCCCCAGAAGGGGATTCAGCCACAGGGAAAATGAAAAACAATATGAAATCACCTTAAACAACACCCGGGGGGTATCCTCTAGATTACGAGCCCTCCCTGCACGAATCATCGTTACGTGGATGGCCAACCGCCCAGCACTAATCCTAAAGGCAGGCATTAACCATGTTCGTCTTTGGAAGGCTTGGAGCAACGATGTTCAAGCCAACCAACGGCAAAACACCCAGTTGCGTGTCACATGTCTCAACCAGGTCCATCAGGTCCATCACTGGCTGTTGCCTTCATGGCGCCTGATCTCAACATGCATCACGAACACCACGGGACGGGACGAGACGACGGGACGTTCCATGGCGGAACTCGACGCGCGCTGGGGCTCTCAACGCCGGCCTCGCCGTGGCTTCACCGGTGACTCGCTGTCCATAGCGGAACTCTGAGCGTGAGCGGAGTGAGCCTCTGAACCGGATGGAACTGAATGGAACTGCTTCTGGGACCGTCTGTGACACGGAGATGTTTCTTATTGTTTCTTGACTGACTGTGGATGCATCGCATCGGAGGTTGGAGGCTGGAATAGGATGGAGATTCTTGGATCAATCTTCTATACATGCTCGTCATCTTTTTCTTGAACCAGCACACTGGATACACAGGGCAAAGAACGCTGCGCATCAACACTTCTTGCAGGGAAAAGGATATGAACAGATCAAAGATCCAAAACGATCCAAAAAGCACAATCCCAAATAGCTCTGCAGTGTCTGGGTTTCCAGATTCCGCCAAAATGACGTTTCTGGGAGGCAAGCGTCATTGCGTCACCGAAAGAAAATCAACGGATGCAGGCTTGGCTTGACCATCGGGTGCTATCTGTCCTGAGCTTCCTGAGCTACGCACTGTAGCCTGGGGAGACAAAGCAGGAACAAAGCGTCTTTGGTGCTCAAAATGTGTGTGGTCCTGGTCAATGGTAGAAGGGAACTCATGCTGAGAAGCAGTCACAACATGTTACAACCACAAATAACCACAAGAGTTCGACTCGAAATCAGAAGTGACTGACAGTTCCCGACTCAAAATCACTGAGAAACTCTCTGACTGTCTGTTTCTGCCCGTTTGACGTTATGGCTAGGGAACATATACCATTACCAGGGCCCCTTGAAGGCCTTTAAATCGTCAACATCCTTTATCGACGGCTATACTGGTACTGGGACACTATGCAACCTGTAGACTTCGCAAACTTCACAAGCAGCCTGACCTGACCTGACCTGACCTGACCTGATGTTTCACATGACCTGACCTGATGGCATAGAAGAACGATTGACACAGCATCGGGCAGCCCGGGCTGATCTGCAGATGCGCACACGCGCAACAAAGAGCAACCGGCCTGCCGAGTGCGGTCCGTTGATACGCCGAATTGATGGCATCCGCTGAGCAGGGAGACCTTCCACGCCCCAACTGGAACCAAGGGAAATGACCAATATGCCAATGGATGTCGGGAGTCCCCCGACATATACAGGACACGCCCATTTTTCTCTGGACCAATATGCCAATGGATGCCAAACTGCTGCAGGTTTAGGATGCTTCAACATTAAGTGGTTCTGGATGATATCTTTGGTGTCTGGATACAAAACATATTTGGCACAAACCATGGCTACAGCCTGGAACTGCTTGTCTGGCCTCTACGGGGCAAGCACTGCCCTCGCTTTGACCAGTGGAGAACTCGATCTGTGCCTCAAGAGCTCGGCTCCAGGTTGGAATCCACTGAAGGGTCTCAGTGTCAATGATAATGAAAGAGTTGGTACCCCTGCTCCCATCAACCCACAAAAGACAAGTGAGCAAACCTCCACGTTGACGGGCACTTTCAGTGTATACTCACTGGGGCCAATTGAGATTTTGAGGGACCCATTCAAGTAGGGTCAACCTTCGAACCGTCTTGGTAGCAGCAGCTCCGGATAATGACTAAAGAATTTTCATCTGGGCCATTTGCGTCAGATTCAGGCTGCCCGAAAAGCACTTTGGTGCAAGAATGTCACTGCAAACACCTTGGACAACGCGTGGAGAGACCTAAAGAAGTCGCAAACAACCCCGCCAAAATGTCCAATCTGTAATGGAGCACCGAAGGATAAACCGGACAGACAAGCAAAGAGCGTTTGTGGGATACCACCCGAGGAAAAAGGGCTAAAGTACTTCAGTAGGTTTGTTTGACATCTTCGTTAGGTCTTTAGCCGAAGAATGCCAAAGAGCTGTTATTGCGAACACAGGTCTTCGACAAGGTATATAGATGTATACTATATAGGGATATAACGGGATATATAGGGTGCAGGGTCATGCAACATGAGATCATGTCAATGGCAATTGGTTGCGGTTGCGTCAATGCGAGCAAATCGAGGCACCATATACTTGCGTAGTCATGTGTTTGCTCTGTTGGGGATTACCATCATCTTCTATATTCCCGCTCCACAGCAAAAAGATCGTTCATTCAGAGCACCAGAGTTGCATGAGCAAGAATTTCACACAGCTTCCATGTTTTCTTGGCACCAAATGGTCAGTTTGGTACCATAAACCTATATTACATCCGGTCCCATCACTGGGTTCAACAGCCGGTCCCGTGTCACCGTGGCGGTTGAACCCCTCGACCGGGCTTCCCGGCAGCGTTGGCACCTGCGGCCCACAAGACGGTAGCATTCCGCCGCAAGTTCCCCAGCTGCAAGAGCACCTCCCGTCGACCGCGGGCGTCGCACGGCGTCCCGTCCGTGGCGGTGAAGGAGGTGATGAGGACGTGATGAGGACCCGTCTGATCGTATTGATGTGAAACGGAAGCGAACGTCCTGATGCGTTTCGGGATGCCCTGAAAAACGAAAAACACATCATCTGAGGGTCATATTCTTTCACGGCTATGAAGTATAGACACTTCATGATGTTCAGGGCAAAGGCCGGCTGCAACGAAAGAGGTCCTTGTTCGGTGCAGGCCGTTTCATGCCATCACCAGTCACAGTGCAATGGAAGAGCCAGAAGGTAAACAGAAGCATCCACCGCCAGCCTTATCACCTGCAGCACAAGGGGACCTTGCCACAGCATGCCAAAAGCGGAGAACTTTCAATGACTCACTTCAAGTCATCATCCACCACTACCAGGCCGTGGTGTCAATGAGTGCCATTTGTGTCAATGTAAGTATTCCATACATGGAGTGTCTGGGCAATGATTTCCTCATGACACCGGACGTAAAGAGATCCTTAGGACGCCCGGCATGCAGTCCTCGCCCTCGCAACTGCGCCGGCTCTCCAATTGGTCGAAGTATCTGGCAAAGCTTCGATGTGGATATCAAGCTGTTCGAAGGAACTGTCCACCTGTTCGCATCTCCAAAAAGGGTTCCACTCTGGGCAAAGATTCTCAATTATGGAGACCCGGACCATCCAACATGGCCCAGAGAGAAATCATTGGACTGCCAAACAGCGCCGCAAACATGGTCAGAAAGCGCTCATGACCAAAGGTTGTACGAAACGGCCGGATTCCCGGTGGAACCCAGTTTCCACCGGTGCAAACAAACAGGGAATCGCTTCCCAATACATCTTTACCAAGATGTTCTGTTCTGTCCTGTTTTTTTGGGTCGCTCTATACTATACCAAACCAGGTCTAGGTCTAATAGTTACCTAAAATAGTCGCTATAGTGGTAGGTAACTCCATCCCTCAGGAATGATCCCGCACCAAACTCTGCTCAAACTGTTCCGCATGCTTCCTGCCTTGCAAACTTCCTGGGGATTTGATCGTGCTTGGCATAGGCCTCTTCATCCAGATCCACTTCATCATAGGGAGCCTGGCGTCACGACGGTCACGGTGACGAAGGGGAAACATACAATAAATATATATATGATATAATATGATATAATAACTGATATAATATATATTTATAGCCTTAGAAGTCCAAAGACTGGTTTTGGGACCACCGAAGTAAAGGATATTCCCGGGTGTTGAACGAAGTCGCTCCTTCGAACCCCCTGACCCGTCGGGGCGTCAGGTCATGACAGCGGTGACAGCATGACTAGTCCATGAATGTATTTCCATTCATTCACACCCGCTCAATTTAGATTGATTCATATTCATATTATTAATATTCATATTGAACAATATATCCAGTATACCTGGATCTTCAAACTGTGCAATTTCTGCCTTCTCATCAATAAAACCAGCCAAAAGGTTTTAACGGTTCTAACACATGCACAGTTGGAAGATCTAAATATATATATATATATATATAAGTGTTCTTTTCTATTCACCACGTAAAATGAATGGTATCTTCTTAATCTATTTCACTGATCCTGCCTGAACCGGCCACTGATCTTGCCGATCACCTGGGGCCACGAGGCCTGCCTGCAAGAAGAACCACTCAGTGGGAGACCAATGAACCAAGCCCTCTTCATCACCACCAATGAACCAAGCTCAGTGGACAGAGTTCGTTTGAAGTTCATGAACTCGGTGAACTCTGGCAACTTGACCCGAATTTTGAAGAGTCCTTGCCAGCTTTGCTTGACATACATTCAGGCTGAGAGCCCTGCGCTATTCACCACCTCTGGCTCCCAAAAGCTTCCAAAGGGAAACTGAGCGATGCACTCCGCGTGGCGCGGCTCGCAACATGTTAAGTTGAACAGTTTAGTCTCAACATGTCAATGTGAAGGTCAATATGTTCCATCAAGTTGGAACATATCATATATCATGTTCTGTTCATGCTTTTCTCCCTTGGGCGGCCCAGTCTTTTTTGCAGTCTCCAGTCGGACATAGTAAGGGTTTCTGTGTGATCTGTGATCATGCGCGTGTCAAACCGAATTGAAAGCCAAGCTCGAGGAACAGGTGGACTTTCACTGTTCCGAAGGACCTTCAGGTACGGAAGGTATGCCGTCCTGACCCTCAAATGACCTCGACTTGCTAGACTATGCTTCCCAGAACTGGTCGTGTTTGGGATAGATTGAACCGGTCCACACATCGGTCGGTCTGCAGCTCCGCCCAGCTCGTCCGTGTCGGTGAAAACGGTGTTTCAGGATGGGATGCACCAAGGCGTGCGCCACGGCCACGGGTGCGAATGCTTGGACCCGACATGGTCGCCAATGCGAAAGGGATGCAGCCCTTTCCATTGGAGAAGGGCTGGGGATTCGGGTGGAAAGCTTCACTGCCCAAGCTAAGCATCCGGGCCCGTGGAAGCAACACTATAGGGTTTGGTTCGGGTCCGGACCCCTGCGAAGGTGTCAGGGCTGGACTCTTAGGGCACTAATTCAAAGCAAAGCCGCTGTGGGGTCAGCACTTTCAAGGACAAAGCCAGAGCCTTATGGAGCACGCACAGGTTGGATTGTAGGCAACCGACGGAGACAAACGAATGCATGAGATACCTGCTGTACCAGCAACCACCCAAAATTATGCTGAAGCTTCTAATTATTTCGGGTTGGATGGGCTGCATATCTTGCGTCGATGGCCTCCCACTCTTCTCACTGGTCACATTCTCTTCGGGATTGCGGTGAATTGAACCTGTTCTCTGTGTATATCTGTGATCTAAACCTTCCCAAGTACTAATTAGTTTTTATTTTTTAAATAATGTTTAATGTTTTATCTATATAGTGTCCTAAACAAAACTAGTTGTGCATCAAGAAAGCCAACCAAGAGAGGCTGGGCCGGCTGTTTCTTCACCTTCGCCCTCCACATCTCCTCGCTCTCCGCTCTCCACATCTCCTCGCTTCCTGCCACCTCTTCCTGCCGAGAAAGCGTCGGTTCTCGGAGCCGGTGGACTTCACGTAGCGAAAGACCTGCCCTGCGGGTGGTGCTGAGCCACAATCACCTCACTCCGCAGTGTGCGCCGCGCAGTGCGCGGACGGGACGCGTGGATGACGCCTGCCACGGGACGTGGTTGTCGGAGGCCAACGAGGCCGAGACGGCCTCGACGTGAGATGGGAAAGACTCTTAAAGCAAATGGGTCATTCTCTCCGTACATTTAAACTTCCTGACATCATAATATCCCTAGGGATCCAAGTACCTACCTTCTCAGGAGGTGCTTGGACCCTCCAAATCTATACTATATACTACTAGTAGTATATATACTTCACGTTCTGAGAAGGTACGACAGATCCCTAGGGTACGGGTGTGACATGGTGTGACCTTTCAATGGAGAGACACCTAGCCGGCCGATCGCCCCGTGGCTTGCGATCTCCTTCTTCCGCGGGGGTGGGGCACCTCGGAGGGTGGGTCTCCCATGTCTTGAAGCTACTAGCGCCACATTGCTTCTGTCCTCATCTTGGTCGACGAGTAGATGCCATGGAGTGGGCAAAAGCCACACGTTTGGTCGACGTCTCTGGAGGATGAGCAAAACCCTCCATGTAAAGAGGCTTTTCAATTCAAGCTGGGCGGGTTGAGGGCATCAAGAGTCTAGGAAAAAACCCTTGGATTTGCTGTCCAGGCACCGGGAAAAGGAATGAACATCGAACATGATCCTTGACAGTCGCTGCGACAGGACACCCCGACGCCCCCCCGGCACCAGACCGTTGAGTCCTTTGATGTCCTCACGCCGCGGCACAGTGGGCCACGCCGCGAAAATCTCGGGGCTCCATCACCTGAAGTGAGGGGCTGCACCGTCACGTTCGGCCAGGGCAGGGATGGGCATCTGTTCGGTGCAGCAGATGAAAAGGGCGTCTGGTCTGTGCGAATGGAAAAGCGGGCCGCTCATTCACCAAGCTTTATCGATGTTCTTTTTTTCATCTTTTTTCCATGTGTGACGCGCGCGAGGCTTCGCCCCTGGCATCCCCATTTCGTTAATTAAGGCAAAGGTTTCGTCGAGAGTTGGGTGGGATTGCTCCAATCTCTGAACGACACGAAGCATGGCGCCAAGCATGTCCTTGCGACGGACACCGTGTTCTGCAATATTCCGTGACACCGCGTAAAAAAAGGCCAAACTCTCAACACAGGCCTTAAGAGGCCGGAGCCCTTTTCTGACCGCGAACAAGTAAGAGCTCTGGGGCCACTAAGCAATCCTCTACCGGTCTTCTTGGGCCCTTCACCACCTGACCGCGAAAACGACGAACACCATCCCCACTCCGAAGAGCCCCGAAGACCGGCACCGCGCGAACAGGTGTTTCGGACCGGGCTTCGCTCGCTCGCTGCGCGATGCGGCGCGCGAAGGGCGCCTGTGCGAGGGGAAGACCCAGCTGCTTGGACACCTCTGAGGCCCAGAGCCGATCCTCCTGGCTTCGTGAAGACCATGTGTTCAACACCTGGTGTCTACATCTGTATGGGTATAACTATATGTGAGTTGCATGCCATGCAACATGAAACGCGAAACTTCGCTCCACCGAGACGGGTGGGCTCGAGAGTTTGAAAAGCCTGCGGTGCGGTCGCCTCGGCGACTTTGTCTCCCGCGCGTCGGCGCGGCGCGTTCGTTGGTGGTGGACTTCGTTTGCTACCACCTGGTTTTCCACATTGGTAGCGGAGCCCCATCCAGGGGCTCTGCATGTGCTACGCGAGAACGAGCACGAGGTCCTGCATAAGACCCGGGTCACGATCGGCAGAACGAGCTCTATTTTGGTTTTGGTTGCTGGCATTTGCACTTCTCTATATCCACGGCTTTGAGGCCATCCAGCACGACCTTGTGGAGCCCTACCTCACTGTCGCCTCCATCATGGGCAAGCCCACAAAACAGACCCAGGCTGCACCTGCCTCGAGTTCGAAAGAGGGTACGAGCTACGCTGATCTTCGAGACAGCTATGTGCCTTTGTTTTCCGGCCAGCCGGCCGATTACAAAGAGTGGCGACAGAGGATCCACTTGTACCATCGAAAGATGGCCATTTCGAAGAGGAGCAACGAGAGTGTGTTGAACATCGTGGGATCGTTCACTGGCGTGACATGGCGCTTGTTTCAGGAGTGGTCCATCGAGGAGCTGGAGAAGGAAGACGCCTTCACGCGTCTGATCACCACCCTGGACGCCAACTTTGCCTATGACTCCCGCGTGCAGCTTCCCTCCGACTTTGAGAACTACTTCAACCTCCTCCAGAGGCCTGCCGGCCAAACTCTGTTACTGTACGTGACAGATCATGAGGAGGCGTATCGGAAGCTGCAACAGCACAAGGTTGAGTTGCCCTCGCAGGTACAAGGATGGCATCTTCTACGCCGAGCCTCGCTCAGCAGAGAGCAGAGGCAAATGATCACCCTGCGCGCTCCCAGCCTTGAGAAGAACGAGGTGATCGAAGCCATGTACCTCATCCTGGGCCAAGATTTCAAAGGTGGAGGATGGAACACCGAAAGGAATCGACGTTTTGGCTTCAGCCCCCAGTGGAAGAACAGAGCCTATGCGGCCGCAGAGGACCATGAAGGTGAAGATGACGACTATGACCACTGGGAGTCCGGCTACTATGAAGGTGAAGATTGGCATGAAGAGCCAACCCAGGACCCGGACGAGGCCTATGAATTCGATGAAGACGCCGTCTACTACGGCGATGAACCATGGCCCGATGATGACACCTCCGCAACTTCGCCACATGAACTGGCAGAGGAGTACGACATGGCCTTCGCCTCGTACACTGACGCTCGAAAGAGATTTCAGGAGCTCAAGATGTCCCGCGGCTACTTGCCGATTGTTGCCCTCACCGATCAACAAGGAGGTCACTCGCCCACATCATCGACTACCTCACCATCATCATGGAGGGCGAAGGGAAAGGGCAAGGGGAGTTCCAAATCTGGCAAGTCCAAGTCAAAGACAAACATCCGCTACTCCAACACGGACAACCGGCCAGTTGATCCCCGGGCAAGGGCAAAAGCTGCGATGACCTGCTTGCGATGTGGCCAGCCTGGTCACTGGGCGGCAAACTGCCCTCAGAATGCCTCCGGCTCCATGAAATCTGGTCAGAAGCGACCGGCTCCTTCCACGACAGAGGGTATGGCCTTGCAGACCACCTTCAAGCCTGACGAGTCTGCGATGCTCATCTTCCAGGACAGCAATGGTTCCGAAAGACCGGATTGTGTGATGCTTGACCCAGGAGCAAGTGCATTCCTCAGTGGCTATGGCCCATTCAAGCGCTACCTGGACCACCTCAAGTCCATCGACTTCCCGGTTGAGAGCATCCGCATGAGCAAAGGCCGACGCCGCTTCCAATTCGGCGGTGGTGCATCCTTGTGGTCGGACTGGTCAGCTCACCTCCCGACCTTCATCGATGGAAAGTATGGCACCATCGAGGTCTTCCTGCTTCCTGGAGGCACTCCCATGCTTTGTGGACGCCCGATCATCGAGGCGTTGGGCATCACCATGGACTTCGCTCAAAAGCGGTTGCGCTTTGGCACATCCACTTGGACAGATGCCACGCTCGGACGCCAAGGCGAATATCTTTGGTCCCTGACCGCTGAGCACGACACCGTCTACTACGACGTTAGTCAGCCTGACTATGAACTGCGCACAGCCGATCCTGAAGTTGCTGCAACAGATGGCTTCCACCTGAAGGATTTCCTCGAGGCTGAACATGGCTTCACTGCTCGTGAAGAGCTTGTGACAAAGGGAGTTGAAACCTGGTGTGTGTACCCTCAAGCAAGAGTTGAAAACTATGGATGTGCACCTTCGCACCCACCTGAATGATTTGTCAGCCTTTGTCACCAAGGAGCTACATCGACCAGATCGACCTCGAGTGCTGTGGGAAGTCTACTGCGGCACAGCTCGAACCTCGCAACTTGCTGAGGCCCTTGGACTGGAAGTGCGACAATTCTCGTATGAGACTGGATGGGACTTTGACAACCTCAACCACCAAGACCAGTTCATGGCCCTACTTGATGAAGAACAACCGGATGAAGTGTTGATCACTCCCGAATGCAAGCTCTGGTCCCGCATGCAAAGTCTTGGCCGTCGCACCTGGCATCAGCAAGAAGCTTTGATTGCTGCTCGAGCACGACATCATGATCGACACCTCCTGTTCGCCAAGAAGATCTACCTAGCTCAGGCCACTGGTGGCCGCCACGCCACACTGGAGCAGCCAAAGCATGCGCTATCCTGGCGCACACGTGCACTTCGAGATCTACCTGGCCGCCGTGCTGATTTCTCTCAGTGCAGGTACGGCGCACAGTGCCTTGACGAAGATGGAGTTTGGCGCCCGGTGCGCAAAGACACCACGCTACTCACCACCAAGCGTGCTGTCCAAGATGCGATGAGCCTCACCTGCCAGAAGGATCACCAGCACTGTCATCTCGAAGGCGCAGCTCCTGGCTATGGTTCTCGCGCTCGATACATGGAAGAGTATCAACCTGGTCTCGCAGCCACATTGGCTGGTGCCTTGTTCGTGGACGAGCCACCCACGCTTTGGGAAACAGCCCATGCAGCCGAGGAAGAACGACAGACCACTGGCTCCCTCATCAAGCTCAAGGCGGAGACCAAACAAGAGGCCATCCGGGTCGTTCAACGCTTGCACAGGAACCTCGGTCATCCTGGCCCTGAAGCATTGGCTGAGTTGTTAGCCGCTCGAGGAGCATCTGAGGCAGTCATCCACGCCGCAAAGGGCTATGTCTGTACGGCCTGTGCAAAGTATAAGAAGCCAGCTCAAACGGCTCCTGCTTCCATGCCCAAGGCCAAGGAGTTCAACTCAGTCGTCCAAGCAGATGTGTTCTGGATTCGCAGAGGAAGCACCAAGTACCCCATCCTCAGCCTGGTCGACACAGCCACTCGCTACACGGCCGCGATTCTCCTGAAGAATGAGCAGTCAGAGCAGTACATCCGAGCCGTTGAACGGGCTTGGATCTCCGTGTTTGGTCCACCAGCTGCTCTTCTCACTGATGAAGGCCGACCCTGGCTTGGACAGGCCATGGATGATTGGACAACAGCCCACAACATTGAGCACATCGTCGCTCCTGGGGAAGCTCACGAACGTCTGGCAGTGGTTGAACGGCGACATGCCGTAATTCGAAGAGCAGTGGAGATCTACCTCGACGATCAAAAGATCGATGACGCCCCTGGCATCAAAGAGGCCCTGACCTATGTCTTGCCACAGCTCAATGCCACTCCAAGTGTTGCAGGCTTCAGTCCAACGCAATGGGTGCTGGGACATCAACCTGGCATGGCTGGAGACCTTCTGTCAGAGCACACCCAAGCGCCGCACTTTGGCGGCAACTCTACCTTTGAAGATGCCCTCACCAAACGGCAGGCAGCCAAGAAGGCATTGATCGATGCTGATGCTGATCGTCGCCTTCGCCGTGCACTGAGTCTCAAGTACAAGGGTGTCAACGCTGAGTACAGCTTGGGGCAAAAGGTTTGGTTCTGGCGCGATGCCAAACAGCCCGACTTGGTGAAGATTAGATGGTTGGGCCCGGCTCAGGTCGTCATGAAGGAGCACAAGCAAGATGAGTCTGGCACCTCGCAAGTGAGCGTGTACTGGCTGGCATTCAAGACCCAGCTGATCCGATGCGCTCCTCACCACGTACGAGCAGATGTCAAGAGCCTGGACCACGCCCTGGATGATACCCAAGGTGCTTTGAACACCGTCCGTCAACTTCGCTCTCGGGGTGTGACCCGCTTCTATGACCTCAACAGGGCAAATCGGCAGAACTTGGCCGACGTTGAAGATGATGAGCATGGCGAGGCATCCGGCCTCGAGTCCCTGTCTGAGCATGAGATGGCACCTCCTCGACAGCGACCACGCTTGTCGATTAGCATGCCCGAGCAAGACACACCCCAGGAAAGTCCGGAAGCACCACCGGATTCGGCACCAGCGCCATCGGCGCAACATGAAGCACCACCTGCACAGGATCCATCAGCAACCCATGCACCGGCAGAACCTCAAGAACTACCACCAGTCCCAGATACACCGAGGTCACAAGGACAACTGCCGCCTGTGCCGATGTCTCCTGGCAGCATATCACAGCCGAGTCAGGAACCCAGTGAAGAGCCTCCGATCCAAAGCGGACAGCCGACACCACATGCCAGTCAACACCGACCGGCATTAGATCCACAGACCGCCTCGCTCTACGAGACCACGGAGCGAGAGACCTTCCAACAGCAGCGCCTGCGTTTCAACAGACAAGAAACGTTGAGCTTCGCACCATGGCGGACACGCCATCAGCATCCGAACACACCCTATGGGCCGGCTCCAGATAACAGAACACACACAACAGCGGCAGCGGCAGCCCAGGCAACCCAGACCGCCACGCCACAAGCTGGCGAACAGCTACCAGGACAGGCCTTCCAAGTTGAAGACCTTGATCCAAAGCTGCTACCTGCCGGATGGCATGTTGATGATGAAGGCTTCATCAGCCTGTGTGATCGCCCCATGGACTATTGGGAAGTGAAGGCAGGATGTCTCATCAGGCATCACCTTGTGCCCAGAAGAGGCAAGCTGAACATTGATCACCTGCCAAAGGATTGTCCGGTTCCTGCAGACCAGCTCGACCGCATCAAGGTCACCTTGATCCACCAACCTGGTGGGAAGGGACGACTCACGACCGATGATGGCACGGACACGGCACCTCCCAAGGATTTGAAGTCCTCCTGGACTGGCGTCACGGTCTTCCAGGTCACCGGCTCATTGCGGAAAGAGATGGCCATGTATGGTGGCTACCACGAAGCCTTCACCTCCGCCAAGCAAGAGGCCAAGAGTCAGAAACTGGCCCGAGTCAAGAAGATGAAGACCGCAAAGAATGATGTCAATGAAAGACACCTTGGCCCTCACGAACGAGCACTCTTCAAGGAAGCCAAGGTGAAGGAGCTGAAGAGTTTCTTCGACCACGGAGTCTGGACTTTCCAGACCAAGTCAGAGGCCGATGAAGCAAGGACCCTGACCTCAAGGATGATTTTGAAATGGTCCAAGAATCCTGATGGCAGCCCAAGGGCGAAGGCACGACTCATCGTGCGAGGGTACAATGACCCCGATGCTCTGGCAGGCCAGATTCCAACATCCAGTCCAACCACAACACGCCTGTCAAGGAGCATGGTGCTTTCGCTAGCCGCCAACATGCGGTGGAACATGTGGACGGCAGATGTGTCCACGGCATTCCTTCAAGGTCGATGTCAAGACCGCAAGCTGTGGGTGAAGCTTCCCAGCGAAGCACTGCAGTTGCTTGGGGCCGATCATGACACTCGCATGTTGTTGCTCAAGCCCTGCTACGGGCAGATCGATGCTCCACGAGGCTGGTACTTGGAGGCAGTTGACCGCCTTTTGCGCGCTGGACTCCGACAGCACCCTTTGGACCCTTGTGCCTTCCTCATCTATGAGTCCGATGCTCAGGACTATGATGCTGGTTCACCGATCTATGAGAAGGTGAGCACTCTTGGTCCAGAATGCCTCTGTGGCATGGTCATCATGCACGTGGATGACATGCTTGGTGCTGGATGTCCTCATTCACCTCGCTACAAGGCCGTCACCGACCTTCTGAAGGAGAATTTCTCGTTCCGTGAATGGAAGGAGGAGGAACCCTGTCTGGAGTACTGCGGATGCCAACTTGAGAAGACTGCATCCGGTGGACGTCGCCTTCACCAAGAGCAGTACATGAGCAAGCTCAAGCCCATCAGCTTTTCCAAAGGACGCCCCATGTCCGAACTTCTGTTGGACAAGGAGATCACCCAAGTGCGAGGACTCCTGGGGTCGCTCCAATGGCCTGGAGTCCAAACCTCTCCACACTTGCAGTGCACCACGTCCATGCTCTCAGGCCAGATCACCAAGGCCACTGTCCAGACAATGCACGAGTGCAATCGTCTTCTCCGCTTCGCAAAGGAGAACAAAGATGTGAGCCTCAGCTACAACCATCTATGCCACCCTGATGAGCTTCAGTTGGTTTGCTTTTTTGACGCTGGCTTCACCGCAAGGTGTGATGGAAGCTCACAGGGAGGCTACATCACGCGGGTGGTTCATCGAGAGCTTCTCACCTCCGCGGAAGAGGGCGAATACCATGTCCTGGACTGGAGGAGCTTTCGCACTCCCCGTGTTGCTCGAAGCAGCCTTGGCGCCGAAGCCCAGGTGGGAGGACAAGCAGTTGATGCCGTCGACTTCACATGCCGCTATTGGCACCACTTTTTGCACCCCAACACCAAGCTCAAGGAGCTTCTTGAGGTGAAGTCCGACCTCAAACCAGTCCTCATCACGGACGCCAAAGCCCTCTACGATTCCTACCACCGAGAAGGGATCAGTTCCTCAGTTGTGGATAAGCGGGTGTCGCTGGAGATCCGCGTGATGAAGGAGCGGTTGGAAGAGCTTTCTGGTTCCCTGCGCTGGATGAGCTCTGAGCGGCAAATTGCTGACGGCTTAACGAAGGAGTCAGCACGTGTTTTGTTGGCCTCCCGACTTCGCCATGGAAAGTTGAAGATGACATGGGACCCTCACTAAGAAGAAGTCGAAGGCTGAGAAGGCCGCCGCGATTGCAGAGTCTACTGCACTCCCGCCACTCCCACGTCTGGTCGCGACACGCACTGAGGACATGATGGAGAATGAGCACCCTCATGAGACCAATGCCACTCCAAAGAATGACAACATCTCTGAGGACAATGAAGCCTGGCCGAATGAAGACGCGCCTGACATTGTCAGCTTTGCTCAGAACCACGGCTCGCTACAGTATGTCGACGCCCGGAGCCATGTCGTGCCGAGCCGCATGGAGTTTGTCGACCAGAGTCGCTTGAAGAACGTGTTTCTTGGTTTGTTGAGCTTTTCACTGCTGGCAGCCGGAAAGGCTGAATCGGATGTTTGCTCGAAGCCTGATGTTCACGCCCCCGAAGACACTGGAGATTTCTGGCTGAGCGTTTTTCTGTTTTTGCACCTTGGAGCGATGCTGCTTGTTTTCATGTGTGGCCGAGCATCCAAGAGGCCACAAGTGTTTGAAAGCCCTGCCACCTCCGAAGCTGGTGTACAGAAAGATGATCCGGTAGTCCTGCAGCGATGGCGAGAGATCGCCAAGTCAGAAGCTTTGAAGGCCAGTGAGTCCCAGGCCGCAGCTCGTGAATCTCGATCTGCCCTCAACCTGCAGATCCGAGAGGTCTCGGAATTGAGATCTTTGGTAGAGTGTGCGGACCAGCTGCTGAAAGCATTGGTCGCTGAGATGGAGCGCCACTCAAACCGGTGCCCATGTGGAAAGGAGGTTTTTGTAGTGAAGAAAGGAAGGTGTTGGCACCTCTATGGATGCCACATCGTTGAGAACGCAGTTCCATCCAATGTCCAGCCCTTTCGAGGCTGCAGCTTTTGCACTGAACACCAGTGCCCGCCTGACAGGTTTGAGTATCCTGCAGGCTGGTGCATTCGCCAGGATGTGGATTCCTGGCTGCGCGATGCGCAACCCTTTTTACCTTGGGGCCAAGAACGGTCCATGTGAGTTGCATGCCATGCAACATGAAACGCGAAACTTCGCTCCACCGAGACGGGTGGGCTCGAGAGTTTGAAAAGCCTGCGGTGCGGTCGCCTCGGCGACTTTGTCTCCCGCGCGTCGGCGCGGCGCGTTCGTTGGTGGTGGACTTCGTTTGCTACCACCTGGTTTTCCACACTATATATTATGTCTCTCTAAAAATGCCAAGAAAGTACCAGTTTTTTTGCACAGTTTGAAGATCCAGGTATAGTAGGGTATGGAATATATTGGAGGGTGTCCAGGTACATAGAAGGAATGAGGGACCCTTTAGGCCTCTGCGAGCCGAAGCATCAGTGGATGGTGCATCCTGGTTCTGGACAAAAGCACACTTGGCTTCAGTCGATGACCAAAAACGTCAATCCCTCCAACATCGAACCCGAAGGATCCTTGGACCCTCCTTAGAAGGGGTCGAACCCTGTATAACAAGGGTTTGGGGACCCGAAAACCACACCCTTGTTTTATTTCGGGTGCGGATCCTTCGTGCACCTGGAAGAATCAGAACATCGCCACTTTCACATCCACTGTGCGTTGGCACAGCGCCCAAAGCTCCACCGCTGGTCCTTCGTGAGCTCTTCCCGCTTGGGCGCCTGGCCGGCCGTCTTCGCACGGCGAAGAGAGAGGAGGGTGTTGAAATCCTTTACATAACAAGTGGTTGTTTGGGGAAACATCCAACATAGGAAATGGTTGGGACTGGGGAGTTCCATCCATTTCTTTCTGGTTGGGACTGGGGTTCCAGGCAGTTCTAGATAGATCCCCACGTAGAACATGTTTTATACAAACCGTGCCACTGTACCACTATAAGGTATGAGGGAACTGTGGCAGGTTTTTGCCCATGGGGTTAGCAGTATCATGTGACGGACGCTGGTTGCCGATGGGGGTAAACCTTTCCCAACAGTTAGTTCACGGCCACCTTCTCAGAAGGTACGACCTTTATTTTTTAAATAAATTGTCTCGAACACATCACCCTTCGCGCTTGGATGGTGGCATCCATAGGCCCGGTTCTTCCAAGTGACCGAACTTGATCCCCGGTTTTGAGGTCACACACAGGCCCGCCAAAGGTCACAAGGAGGGACTGAAGAAGCTGGCAGAAGAATATGATTTTGCCGCTACAGGTTACACATGTTACATATTTGTTTCATTCGGACCATAATTTATTAGAAGATCCCTCTTTAGGGCTTGTACGGGCGTGCTTTTCATTTGACCGTTTCAAGATCCATATCGGTCCAACGAGTCGATCAGCCATGCCTTTTCGCTCCTTACAGGAGCCATTCTGGTGGTGTGGAAGATCTAAAACATTCTAAAACCAGTCTGCAGGCAGAAAACACATACCGTTGGACGACCTGTGGAGGCGATCAACCCACCAAATCAAGCTGAAGTCCAGTTCGACAATTTCAGGAAAATCCATGAAATTCCTCGGGTCACCGGTCATGTCACCGAGTCAGACGATTCTTTATTATCGTCTTGAAAATGCTTCTGCATGAGAAAATGAAAAGCATCTGCATGGGAACATGATTGAACTTGATTGAGATCACTGTTTCAGGGATTTCAATGTGAAACCCTTCCCCCTCCATTAGCGGGGGTCCCTCCAAAAAAACATCGAAAGAATCACCGGTTCCCCAAAAGGCATCGACCTTTCATTGCATTATGCCAGAACCAAGTCCTGCCATATGCCCGAATATGCCCGAATTCTCCTAAAGCACCGAAGCCTAAACCGTGGTCCTGTCTGACCATTGGTGCATGACCAAACTCTGCACGCTTGGGCGACATCCAATGCCGAAAACATCTTGGAACCCCCTCCCTGATCCTCGCTGATCTCGTTGGCTTTCACATCAACTGACCCCCAAAACGTGTCCGAAATCCACCTACGAACGTTTTCCACCCGCCGTTCTATACCACCTTCCTTTCGTCCACCTGGTTGGACGGTGTGAACTCTGGGCACCTCGTCTTGTCACTAGGTCTTTCACCAGTCCAGGTAGCGGAAACGCCCAACATCTTCCGCTTCTTGCTACTCATAGCGATGCAGTGTTGCGATGCACCTGTTCCCAATAGCGAGGCTACTACTACCCCAAAAAATCCCAAAACCACCACCCAGCGCGAGCAGCTCGGCACACAACTCTGGACGCGCAGCGCACGCATCGGCAGCGGACGCGAGGCCGCCTCGCATCGGCAGCGGTCACTGGCCGTGCTGGGAAAGGCGTCTGGATAGAGATACCTTGGAGTCAGAGGGTCGCGAGTCGAAGCCCGAGCTTCTCTGGCACCGCTGTCGTGGGTCTGAGTTGATGAGATGGGGCCGTGGGAGGGGAGGCGGGCGGCAGGGGATGGGCCGAGTTCGAGCCGGGTCGATGGGAGCGCCCCAACGGCACCACGGCTGACGTACTGGCTGACGTCATACGGCTGACGCTGGTTTGCTGTCGGGGTAAACACGGTCTCCAGTATAGTTCAACCCATTATAACCCATTCAATCGATCACTCCTTGCTTGCCCTGAATCTCTATGAGTTATAGTACCTGGACCCGAGATTGTAAGACCCTCCGTCGAACTGGACGAGCGTGGGAAGACCCACGCTGTTCCATCGGTTTGGTCGCACACGGAGAAGAAAGCCGTGCTATCGAAGAGAACTCCAAACTGTGCACTCTGAGGCGCTTTTGGAACCACGTGGAGCTTCTGACCGCGTTGTTTGACTGTTTTTTTAAGGAAAACCACCCAGTACCGTCAGCCATCCGAGGTGTTGGTCGGCTTCGACCACCACATTTTGCACATGACTTTCTCTAGTCATCAACATGGAGTTCCGAGAACGCTTGCAGGATTGCATGTGGATCCCAGGCAAACCACTATATGTTAGGTCGATCGTTTTAAGTCTTTGGAACCACTGGTTACCCTATTTGTTTATAGTCGTTAGCCTGGACTTTCTGGGTTCGGGAACCTGACGTGTTGCTCAATCAGGAAGCTCCATCCCTTCCCCACTGGGACCTCCGGGCGGGGGCACGTACAAGGCGGGGCGGCGGGCGCCTGGCAACGAACTGGGGGTTTCTCGCCCCTATAAGGAGGGTCCTGCAGCATCCACTAACCAAGCTTTATTTATGGTTTTATGGGTTTCTGTTGATTGGTCCTCTTTTTCAGAGTCAACCTGAGGGGCCTCTCCCTCTGCGCGCCCATGCTCACTTCAGGATTCCTTCCGTGATTGTATGCATATTTTTTTGCTGCCTGAGTTGATCCTGCAGCAAGGTTTTTGGAAGCTACAAACGATTGCTATGACTGTCATAAAACAATCTCCATCTTTGTCCGGTCTCGGGGGGAGGGACGTGAAAATTGCGTCAGCGGGACGCTTGTTGGAGAACAGTACGAAATGCCATAGGGGTCATAGGAGTGCGCCTTAAAATAGGAAGACCTTGCACGCGTTCCGAACTTTCGAAAAACATCGACCAGTCTGCCCAGCCAGGGCCGCCAGGGAGGTCTCCCGAAAATACACACCCATATGTTGGGTATAGCCTATTACCAGTGGATGATGATGGTTCAGTTGCAGGCCTTTCTCAACAGTAGTCAGACTTGTTGACTGACTGAACTGTTCCAGTTCCAGTTCCAGATCCACATCCATTGTCAAAGAGCTGGCAGCTGTCCTGGGGCAAGATCCAGTTCCAGTTCTAGATCTAGTTCTATTTCCAGTTCTTGTTGTCATTTCAATTCCTATGATGCAATTGATCTTCAGTTTTGTGTGTGGAGGTGGAGATCCAGTTCCAGATCCAGTTCTAGTTCCAGATCTAGTTGCGATTCCAATTCCCCTGATAAAGAAAACATTCCTTTTTTTTTGGGGGGGGGGGGGGGGGGGGGAGTTCCTGATCCAGCTCCATTGGGGAACAATAGTGTCGTCAGGTTGCAGGTCCGGTGGCTCATGGATCGAAGCTTGGGGCAGCTTCCGATCGATGATCGATGGAACAGCATGGTCGGGCGAGCGCTGGCGAGCGCAGGTCGTAGGTATCGTAAAGCCACGATTTTCGAGATACACGACCGCAGGTCGGAGGTTGGTCTTCAACAATTTGCATGACACGAAAACGGTATCATCAACACACCGAAGTCGATTTCCGCCCAAAACTGAACTCGTGTGCACCTCCTTGGCGCGGGCGACCAGTGTCTATCACCTTGGCAGGGACCATTTTCCCGTGTCGATCTACACATTCAGCAGGCTCAAACGGGAGAGAAAACTGTCAGTGCAAACCGAAGTCGATCTACTCACCATACACATCGCTGACAACGATTCACGTGGATTTACATGGATTTATATGGATCACTTACATCACTTGTCACTACCCAGACACTCCATGGACTGCCATATATATGCCTACATTGACCCCCAAAATATATGCCAGTCCCAGACTGGTCGTGTCTGGGCTATGGATTGGACTGTGGATCTCTATGGGATCTCGTGGGCTTCACGGATCAACATGAGGAGCAGACCTACCAGCAGCACCCGATTCAGCGGGTGCTGAGAACAGGAAACAAGGAATGAAATCAAACAAATACAGAGTCAGGGGGTGTCTCTCAACATCATTTCCTTTATCATACATACCTGGATCTTCAAACTGTGCAGAATTCTCTTTTGCCTTCTCATCGATAACACCATCCAAGTTCGGCAGATATTTTGCACAGTTGGAAGGTCTAGGTATCAATCAGTTTCAATTTGGAAAGGATCCAGTCACGGAATTGCTTACATATAAATCAAATACATATTATATATCAACTCCCAGCACCTTCATGTCGGGGTCACCTGGCTGGAAGCCCCTACACTACCATCCGGGACCTCCAGACAGGACACCCCGAAAGAAGGTCCAGGTCTGTTGGTCGACTTTGAAGACTCTTCCATCTGGTTCCTGGCGTTCCTCCGCGCTGAACGCCGGCGCCTCGGACGCTCCTCCGAACGCATCCAGCGGTGCCACGGGCCTTTGGGACGGGGGAAAGCCGGCGGCGACGACGACGACGTCGGCCGGTAGGTCCTGGGGTCCTGGACATCCAGGAGCAACGTCGTCCATGTAAAGACCGAAGTGGACTGCAAGCTTTTCTGCAATGGGGTCAGCAATGGGGTCAGACCATGAAAGACCCTTTTTTTCGGAAGAACACACGGTTGAAGAAGGTGGCTCCCGCCACAGGTCTCGAATCTGGTCATCTCGTTTCACGGGACCTTTCACCCATGTTGTCTTGTGTCTGAGTCGGGAACTCCAAGTCATCCATAAAGGGGCTTCCGGCCTGGTGTGCTGCGCAACTGCTCTTTCTCGAGACGTCTCTGTCTCAACTCGGGACGTCCTCTGTGCATCGATCGACGCTAAGAACCCAATCCGAGGTCGAACCGAAGAAAGATCCACCATGCTGCTCCCCCCAAAAGTGACATAGACCCCCAAATAGATATACAAGTACAATCAAGTACAAGGCGGTAGATCCCGCTCGTCCAAATGGCAAAACCGTCGAATTTCGGGGATGACTTCTAAAAGAAAAATACGGAAAACCATGATGGAACCAGGCTCAACCGGGTTGATCCACGTAATTACTGGGTCATGCTCCTGACGAACAGTCAAACGGAGATGACCACCTGGTCGGCGAAAGCGCACACACAATGCGGTCGGTCAAACGGTCATGGCCGGCGACTGCAGGAAATTCTTAGACTCAGATCTTCGCTTCTACGAAGACTGATATAAACTTTTAACACGGAAAACTAAAAAATATATATATATATAATGCACATGCCACTTTGGATAGTCTGCCTATCATTAAAAGGTATCTACACTTAGTTGAACTGCAACACGTCGAAGCGTGATTCAACCTGACGTGCTAATTCATCTTATTTATCGAGATCTCAATGCAACCATGCAGCAAAGGGCTCATATCACAAGTCGACAAGTGAGATAATTAGAAAACCAGATCGACCAAAAGAATTGCTCACTGAAGTCACCCAAAGACAAGGAAGTCCTTGAAGGAGGGTAAGGCCCAAGGGAAATCCTCTTTTCCCAAGCAAAGAGCCTCCGCACCATTGGTGGACCAGAACAGTGACATTGGTGCACACTCGCGTGAGGCTCCGCATGAGTATCCCTTGTGCCAAGAGAGGTTGTATAAGTGACCTGAAAAAGGACCCATCACGTGGGGTACCTCGTAGCTATTTGCTACTTGTAGTAATGCCAGGAGACTTGCCAGGCGCTACTAGTGGCGATGCCCTTGTTACGTTCGTAGCTTCCTGTTATTTATGCCAGGAGCTATAGATAGTTGGCTCCTTCAACCGTTGGAGGTCCATCTAAGTCCTTAGGGGAGAGCTCAAAGCACCGCAACCCGCCACATGCGCGCGCGAACCGGCCTTCGCCACATGCCTCAGCAATTGCCAGTCTCACACTGAGAAGATTCTGCGAATCTGAGAACCTACAAAAAAAACACACATCCAGAGGAGAGAATTCGTGTGTTTGGTCGGAATCCCAATCAGCAGCGCTTGCAGGTGCGCAGCAACGCACATCCCAAATGCCAGGTGAAATGGAACATCATTTGTTGTACTACTAATGAACAAGGATCCAACATGATTCTACAACAAAACCACATCAATACATTCTTTTCTGGTCTTTCCGGAAGGTCTTGCAGGCTCAACATGGCTCAACATCGAATGACCTCCTCACAAAACCATACAAAAGCTTATTGAAAAAAACACAACACATGTGGATACATGTGGTATCATGTGGTCGTTGTTTCCGGTCTGCTCCCGTTCTTCGTGGAATCCATGACCCGTTCCGAGCGGCCTGAGTCGTTTGGATACGATGGACCTGGCGCGCGGGGCCGAGATCGGCATGGGGTGTAGCATCGGTGAAGGCCATGGCCGTCGGTGAAGGCAGCCCTGGGTGGATCTTGTTTGATAAAGCGAACCGCACACGTCAAGTGCAGTTCACCGCACGTCCGTCGACATGTCCAATCGAAGAAGCGTCAGCGTCCGTGGTCAATTGCACGTCACGCAATCGCGGTATGCCTGGAGTCAGTCAGAATCACTAAGATAGGCACCTGGGCATACAAGAAAGACTCGGTCTTTGACAAAGGCTAAGCGGCTAAAGAGGTGGTAGAGGCAGCGCACCCTAATGGTGCATAATATGTTCATACCCTTGTTGGGTTGAAGCAAAGCCTTCAACCTGGCACCTCTTTGCAAACAATCCATTGTCAAATCCCGCCTGCTGGGACTTGCTCAATTGACACAATGTCTGCTTGTTTGTGTCGCAAATGCCACAAATCTGGAATCTGGCTCGCCCTTTTGGGCTTGTCGACTCGGTAATTTGATCCTTCGAAGGCTGTTGGCGACGCCTCAACTCGTCTGGGTGCCGTGCTAAAACCCAATGCCGCTCCATTGCCTCAGCCGACCGCTGGTGGGCCGTATCAATATATATTACTACCTGGACCCTCCTGTCGGGGTGTCCAATGAACTACCCCACACTACCTATAGGCTTCCAGACAGGGCACCCCGACAGGAGGGTCCTGGTATAATAGTGTGTGTGTGGTCACGGCTCTGAACACCAACGGGGGCGTCTCCGCGCCTCGGGCGCCGGGGGAAGTGGAGGTTCCCCACTCTCCCGTCTTGAACCGAAGACACGAAAATGGTGGCGATGTATAGAGGTCAACAGGGTCGATGCTAGGTACCAGGAAGACCTATGAATTCATTGTACACATTGGGTATATATCCCCTCTATACCAGTAGTTAGATGTCATGAGTAATTATATAGTAATCAACCAAATAGTAAAATTAGGCCATCGATGGAGTCAACGCGATGGACTTGATGGATATATGGCTGTGGGTCATGGCACCAGGCTGCCTGGGTTGACCACCGAAAATGAACAGATTGCTCTACGTTCGGGAGGTCAACCTACTGGAATATGAAGCACCTTGCTCAACATGATTCAACATGTATACCCTATCGAACGGATTAGACTTCTTCCTGCCGAACCCTCACATCATCTCTCAAGAGTCAGGTTTGCTTCAAACACCTGTCAAACACCTTGAACACTCACAACATCATCTGCCCTCCAGGATCCAGCACTGAGTCGTTGCTGTTCTTTCTTGCTGATCGTGCGGTCCGATGAGACAAAATACTATACAAGCACTATACAAGCATGCACGTTCCAGCTGGTTTCTCACGTCCATGGCAAATTCCGACCATCTCCACTCTCGCGTGGGCTTGCTTGATGTTCTACTGCAACTAATCGCTCTTATCGGCTGGATCTGTTGCATCGAAAACTCATCCAAGGTCCAAACTCTGGGTTTTGATGAGATTCTGATCCATTGCAGGATATTGCATAAGTGTATATCTTATAATAAACTACCCGAAGAATCTGGGCCCTCAAATAGGAAGGGTTTTGAGGATCCAAACCCCTGCTATGGCTGTCATGGAGGGGTCAAGGATTCTTAAGGGCACTAAATTCCTGCATTCTACAGTATGATCATGGTGTCCCATAGGATTCGCGTCTTTCCAACACTTTCCGGTTCTTGACAGTCCAATCATCACAACCACCACATCTTTTGGAAAGTTTAGGAGCCATTGAAAGAACTCGTTTTCGAAGTCTGACCAGTTCACACGGACTTCACGACGGACAACTCTCTTTTGCGCTTCGTTGCGGGTGCATCGTGGCGTGCGGCAAAAGAGCAGGCTTCACTCTTGCCCGCCTGAGCCGATATGGATGCAGGTTCCAGGCGGAACAGCGGAACGCGAGGCCTTTGCTGATCTTTGTGGTATTCCGCCTGCGTTCCGAGACAAACGGATCCAATTGCGTTCATCCGGTCTTGAACAAACGCACGCAACGACGACGACGCGCAGCTCTTGACGCTCGGTCGAGGACGCGGACGACGCGGCTGCTCGCTCGGGTCGTTGGCCCGCTCGGCAGGGAGGCTGTTGAGGCGTAGGCGTTGTCCCACGACCCAGACCATGGGACTGGTATACTTTTGTGTTGGGGTGGTTCAGTATTTCAATTCATCGGCATCAATCAATTCCAAACAGGTCGTGTCTGGGTTTGGGCATGGCAATGACCTGGCCATCCCTGGCCTGTAAGACCATTCAAAACATGGGAACCACCCGGTTGTGTAGTGTAAAATCCTCAAAACAATGCAAAACAAACCATTAAATAACGTAATGGTGGGTAAGGAATGGTCCTGGCACCTGGCACCTGGACATGATCTGAAAAGGAAATCGGAGATCAAATGAGTTCGACCAGGGGGCAGAAATTCTGTACAGCTTGAAGATCCAGGTATGATCATATGACATCATGTAGACTCTTGATTAATAACCCCCCCATATGAAGAGCATGTCCAATTCAAAGGAGAGGGTTTATCAATCAAGAGTCTACATTATGACATATGAATTGATAGGATACTATGATGATATGGCTGTGGGTCAACCGTTCGCTACATGGACTGGTGCTGCTCCAGGTTTAACATGGATTAAACGACCCATCCCCATATGTCTGTGCATTGGTGTCCCGTTGACCGGATTCCTGGCCTCTCGAAGAAGGCAACCTGGAGGCGCTACCGCTCGGATTCGCTGCAAAGCAAGGTGTCTGACTCAAGAACACTTACAACAGCACCTAAGGACCTAGTTCGGGTGGGTATTGGAACATATCATCAGGGGTGTCTATATGTCACAAACCACCCTTGCCGTGGTGCTGGCGGGTGCTGGCCATTTTCCTGAATTGGCCACTCAAATGCAAACCCGGCTTCCAGACAATGGTGCAAACATGCATGAAACATGAAACATCGCTCCTGTGCAAGTGATGAAGCAACACTTTTGCCGCCAGCTTCCGCGCCAAATGCGATGACTTTGACGCCATCAGCGAGGTTGCTTCAAATAGGGATTCTCAAAGGTGCTCTGGATCACCTTCTTGCCAATGATGCACATGCCAGGGAAGCAGTTGATGAACTGCACGCCAATCGGCAGCGGGTCATCGACGCGGTAGAGGTTCGTCTTGCTCAAAGACTCTGGGGAGCGCTTGTGCATGACCTCCAGTAGCGAGGCGCGCCAAGTTTCATTGACACCCGTCTGAAAAGGGTCGATCAGAAGCTGGTCAATCCAATCTTTAATCGAGTCCACGAAAGGCTTCGCAGTTTGGCTGAATTGGCCTTGTGCACGCGGATTCCGGTTCCAGATCAAGTCCTCTATGATGTAGAGGCCCCCTGGCTGGATGTGTGGCCACAAGATGTTGAATGAGGTGCGGATCGCCTCGTTCGCATGTGATGCATCATCTATCACCACGTCAAAATGCCCACCAGCCTGCTGAACCCAGCTTTGTACGGTTTCAGGCTTGGATTGGTCGCCCATCAAGAGGTTCAACTTCAGCCCAGCCTTCCTGGCATTGGAAACGCATTTGGGATCGAACTCGGCGGACCAGAGCTGAGCCTTGGGATGCCGAAACCAGCGCTGCCAGATCTGCATGCCGCCTCCGGGCGGAAAGACATTCTCCTGGGACGGACCAGAGCAGCTGTCCAGTGTCCCGGTGCAAAGAGGTGCTGTGTCGAAAACCTATTGGAAATGGCTTTGTAATCCTAGCATCCTTTGCGACGTGGCTCATATGTAAACGATTCACCAGGGATTCAATAAGCAGGACAATCATCTTCACCAGCTCTTTGGAGGGGATTGCTCCGAATGATTAGGGCAATATTCACCAGCTATGGGGATTGAGCACTATAGGGGATCCAATCCCCAACAAACCTCAGCAAAACATAGCAAAACCACCAGGTCTCCGACTGCATGAAGCCTGCCCAGAAGTCGTCCGCCTTCGACACGTCCTCCACATCTCCAGTGCCACAACCCAAGCCGATCTCGAGGAGTTTGATCGGGAGGTCGCGCAAGGGGGACAGGTAAATGCCCAAGGGAATATGCAAACGTCCGCCTTTGGAGGGAATAAAGGCTCCAGCCACGATGTCGGACACCGGCTGGCCGTCCGGTAGGATGGAGTGTGCCAGTTGCAGAAACTCCTCCACGCCCTTGGCATTGCTTGAGGCACTATGTGCTAGCTTAGCCAGGTAGGTGCCCGAGCCAGTTCCCTCACCCTGAGGGACTGCCCGGAAGCAACACTTGTCGAAGGTGCGCCGCTCGTCCCAGCAGAAATGCATGATGTCCTCAGCACGCAAACGTTCGTTGCAACAGATGTTGAAGTCAAAGACATAGTCCCAGCACTCCGGGTTGCCCGGGTATTGCACCACTCGATCAATCGGCGATTTTTGGTGCTCGTTCTCACGCCCGGCGTCCACGTCGCGGAAGCAACAGCTTTGGAAGCTTCGACCCTGCGTCCAGCACGCGGGGCCTGATCGCTCGCCACAGCCTCGGCAACCAAAAAGCTATGGCCCCCCAAAACCCAAACACGATCCAAACAAGGGGCCTGGCACATGATTTTTTTGGGTTATATATATATATATGCCAGTCTCATGGGGTGTCATGCGAATGATCCAAACTCTATCAATGAGGGGAGCTTACCAGGCCCTAGAATCCCTAGAACTGTCCACCTGCCTACAATCTGTGAAGGTGTGCCCAGTCTGCTTGACTTGAATGGTGAGTGAGATGCAGGTAGGTAGGTAGGTAGGTAGGTTTGTAGAAGTAAAGAGGGAACAAAAAAGGTCGTGCATACCTGTAGCAAATCACCAACAAACTAGCAACAAACCAGCAATAGACTGGCAATCCAGCAGACCACCAAGACCCGAGCAGGGTGGATCCAATATCCAGGCAGGGTCATGGGTAGTCATGGGGTCGTGCAGTCTTCAGAGCTACAAGACCCAAACTCCTCAAAAGATCCCCCCTGGCTACCGGCAGCCAAGGCGGATACCCAGGATTTTGCGTATCAAAATCCTATAGTGGGATTCAAAATCTTCAGATCACCTGAAACAAAGGATGAGGAGACTCCTGTGATTTCACACCAAACATGTGGCAGGTCGCCCGAATCTTCCCCTTTCCCTCAGGATGCATGCTCCAGGTAAGCAGCAGTGGTGCCAATCCAGCCCGCTGGCGTCCCAACATGATTCATTCCCAGGATAACCCCAAACTGGCTCAGTCTCCGTGAAGCAGCAGTCGCTGAAGGAATATCCGTCCTCGTCACGTGCTGAAGGGATGTTTCGACGGACCTGAAAATGCCGAAACAGACCGACGTAGTGGGTGGGCAGCCAGGCATAGCCAGGTTCTACTCCTGTCGCTTCAGAATCATGCTCTCAGAGACCCAGTGAATCCAGCGGGCTAATAGCTTACCAGTGATTCCAAAGACTAACACCATAGACTAGAAACCCAAAGGACTCTTGCTTCTATCATCTTCTATCTATATTGGCTAGCTGATGTCTCACTGGTGCGCTTGGACGTTGCAAACTGGGCTCTTCAAGCCTTCCGGAAATCCGAGACTGGCTGTTGGGGAACCCAGCTTGATGCGCAAACACATGCCATCGTGCCCCGTCCTTCCAGCAGCTGTTTTGCATCACGGGGCGAGGCTCGCAGCAGTAGAAGAAGTCATAGCCCAGGCCCCAGCAGTTGGGATTGCCAGGATAGCCAAAGCGCCTCAGCTGAATCTGAAGGGGTGGACTTCGATTCGAAAGCAACTGATGCGACTGAGGCTT